TCAGGCGTCAAATAGCCAAACTGCCAGTCAATTTGCACAAAAATCGTACAGAAATCGGTACTATTCAACTTAGGGGGGCAAAATTTTTTCGATGTCATTTTTGGGCTACTTTTTCGGTTTTTCACGGCTAATTAAGCGCAATGCTCTACTTCTAAGCTAAGCTAAGCTGAAGCTCAGCTAAATCGAGCTTGAACAGAGCTAAGCCGAAGCCAAAAACAGCGAAGCTAAGAAAAGCTAAGCTAGGGCGAGGGTAGTTCGCCCCGCCCAGAAGCTAAGCCTAGGCTTAGGCTAAGCTAAGCCTAGGTCTAGACTAAGCTAAGCCTGAGCCTAAACTAAGCCAATACTAAGCTAAGCGCTAAGAAAAACTAAGAAGAATGATCGAAAATGACCCAAAAAAATTGTTGCACCCCCGAACTTGAATAGTACCCAGAAATCACATTTCAATGCGTGGATGATGATGAAGGGATGAGAATTCGGGATCGATCGTGGCAAAATCGCCGAATTGCTGGCGGGGCGGTCAAAAGCGGGGTGCAGCGGAAAGGAAAGGGCAAAAAATGGGGGAACGGAAGGGTGTAGGCGATATATACATCCCCTACTAACGAGATCCACAACATAATTCGGACATTTCGCAGGCTTTTAAAGGGACCGCGAAGGCAAATAATACCTAGAAAAGGGACTCGGTCAAATTTAGGTCGATTTTTGGATGGTCAAGCGTCAAATGCCGCTGCTAGCTTGCCCTCTTGCAAAAAAAAGCGCTGAAAATTTGCTAAAGCGTCTCTGCTAGCTTGCCCGGAAAAGATTTGGCTAACAGAGCACTTAGAAATGGCGTCACAATTGCATTAAACCATCTAAACATTAGTTATTTAGCAATTTTTTGAGGCGCGGACCAATTAGAGGCCATAATTAGTCACGATAAACGGTTGTGTTTATTTTTCGATTCGGCCCATCCGAGCCACACGCCCCCGAGCAGTCACCTCGGCTCAAAAGGCAAAGCTCAACAGTTCAAGCGCCCAAACAATCAGCGAAATCGAGGGTTTTTGCCGGTTACGATAGGTAAATGTGGATGGAAAATGGTTTCATGGCGTAATCAGTCGTCGGTTTGGAAAGCAAGAATTATTAGTTGCGATTAATATGGCGTAATCGGTCTTTCTCCAGAACCCCCGCAATCTACTACAAAATTATTATTTTAGAAACAAAACGCAGCGGATTCGATTCCGCGACGAGTTTTTGTAGCGTAATCGGTTACAGAAAAAAAGCCGAAAATCGACGTTATGTATGAAGAGTCTTCATTGAAGTCATTGTCATTGAAGACGCGCGCTGAATTCGGAATTTATTAACGTATCGTAATCGATTGTAACCGATTACGACACATTTCTAGAATCTATCAACGTCAAAAACAAGAAAAATTTTAGTATATTTTTATTTTCGCTTGATATTAAACGGTTACGCAATGGAAAGTCAAAAAGCTTTAAGCAAGCCGATTACGCCATGTAATTCCCCTAGCAGAACTAGCATAACGAAATTGAATCGATAGAAAGGCTGAAGGTCAGCAGCCGGAATGGCCAAAAAAAGGCTGTGGGGTGCGCGTGCTGGCTGTCTCTAGCGGGGGGTATACGTTCGGAGGACAGTCCCGTACTCTTCTTCTCTTTTGAGGGGCTCCTCCAGGGGGGATTGACCTCGTCTCTCTCTCTCTCTCTCGTCTCTCTCTCTCTCTCTCTCTCTCTCTCTTCCCCTTCGTGCCCCCAGGGCTTGGTTGATGGAGAGAGAGACAGACACACAGACAGACACTCATTCAATCGATCCCCTCTCTCCCTCTCTCGGGCTAGAGAAAGGGAAGGAAAGATCATCGCCAGTCATGCTCTAATTATCTATTAAATTAAATTACTCCCGATCCTGGCTTCGTCGGCATTTTATTCTTCATGAAACCGAGGCGCCAGACAGCTAGCGGTACTGGAGTGTTAGCGAGGGGGCTAATTTTTCTTTTCCGCCTATATTTACCCTTTTCAGACAATAGATTTTAGTGTTTTGAGTATCTTGAGTTTTTTGGTGGTTTCTAATTGCTAAAAAGTTATGAAAATTAATGTTCAATAAGTATGTATACCTTTTTTGTTGTTCATTTTTCAGATATTTTTGGCCAAAAGTCAAAGCGTTTTTGCAATTTTGTATAAAATTTTTTAGACTCGTTTTTATCTAAAAATCGCTTAAAATGATAAATATAAAAAAAATATAAAAATCCTCGCCATCAGTACAGTACCTAGCTAGTAGCAGTCCGACGCGGAACTCAATTCCGCCAAAGTTTATATATTTTTGTGTTATTTCAAAGAGTTTTTAGCGTTTTTAGATTTCTTAATTATTTTTCAGCTAGTGTGTTCACGGTTTTAAATCTTTAACTTTTAGTCTGGTGTTATCGCGATTTTTGACATGTTGTCGACATGTTATCACCGGATTTTATTTTTTGTATGGCTCCGAAAGCCCTTTTAACGTAATAATAATTATTTTAATAGCGTCTCCCCCCCCCCCCCGATAATGCAAAAGCAACGGATCTTTTTCTTTTAGCTGTCAGTCCGATTCGCTTTGCATAATTTCCCAAATAATCTCTGCAATTCCATGCAATCAGCGCGCTCTCTGGGGTCTATTTGTGTGTTGTGGTGGGCCCTCTGAGGTCGATCGATAAAATGGACGGGACACTGAGAGAGAGAGAGAGAGATAGAGAGAGAGAAAGAGAGAGAGAGAAGGGGAAGAAAGGGACCCCCCAGCCACCCACATGGCACATCCATGAGGGCAGACTGGAAGGGAGGGAAGCGGAAGGCTGGATGGAAGGACCCCCCGTCACGTGCCAGATTCTGGACGGCTTCTTCTAGTCCTTCTTCAATTCTCTAGCGTCCATTCCATCCGACAACAATAACACTCCACTAACTGGCTATCAGCCCAGCCATTTCCGGTTCCGGAGCTAGTTTTTTCTCTTGAATGGCTTCTACTAGCTTTTTTTTCGTGATAAAAATCAGTTTACGAGCCTATCCCTGATTCGGTTTTTCCTAAATTACCTTTGCTAGCTGGCGGATTCAGGCTGAGACGTATTAGCGACAGACCATCCTCAAGAATCCCTGCTAGCTTGCCTTCGTGTGCTTCTCTCTCTCTCGTCTCTCTCTGTCTCTCTCTCACTCGCTCACTATTTCTCCCTCACTCTCTCGGTCTCTCTCTCTCTCTCTCTCTCTCTCTCTCTCTCTTCCCCCTCCAACCGGTTCTATCCGGGTAACCCATGCTCCCCGCTTTGTACCTCCTCCTCCCCCATCCACCCATTTTTGGAAATCTGCCAGCCAATTTCTATCCCGTCTCTCTTTTCATATCCATTTTTTTCCAAAATACACCCATCCCGGGTCCGTAGCAGATTTTCGATTTTCCGTCTCCCACCGCTCAATGACCGATTCACCAGCCACCGCCCCGTTTTTTTTCTTGTAAGGAGGCGCGTGCCGGAAAAAGGAATTAAAAGAGATTTTACGATATTACTAAGTATTTTTCCAGGTTTGTGGCCTGACTACAATTCTATGCTAACTGTCACCGTCCCTTTAAATTACCGTAACGCACCCTTACTGGCCCAATTTTAAATTTTTGACCTGCGAGAAAAAGTTCTCGCAAAAAAATTTCGATGAAATTGAGTGACGTTGGCAATTTTGAGGTCCGTAATTGATTATGCTATGAAAATAGGTTGCCGACAGAATCCTACTTACGGTATCCGGACTACTATAATTTTTGCCATCGTATAATCCACGGAAAACACGATTTGCCTGGGTTTCCTGGATCCGAATTGGTGACGCTATTTAAATCGGGACATCCAGACGACGCCGATTTTTCCGGGTGAATACGGGTGACTAGTCCATCCGGTACTGTAGCGAGAGAGAGCGAGAGAGGGAGGGAGAGAGAGAGAGAGACAGATCGTACAAAGAATTCCAGCGGCGTGGAATTTTTTGTAGTTTTGTGTTTCCATTTGAGAGAAATACGTCTAAAATTAAGCTTACAACTGGTGTCAAGAGGGATGCCGCGGCATTTCGCTGTCGTTACAAAAAAATTTCGTGTTTTCTGGAAACCATTAGAATTTTTTTGCAGCTTGACGGGCGTGAGAGACTATCCGATTACGCTATCTAAAGTGGCGATTCCGTGCCAGTACTAACAACAAAGGTCACCCACAAAATTTGGGGTATTTTTGATCGCTATAGAATTTTTACAATGCCCAAAAATTTGACTGCGCGGCACTTTTGTGATTTTTCTCGCTTTAAACCCACCCGGTGCTCGCGGCGCTTCGATTTGCGATCCTTGAAAAAATCAGGTGCTCCTAACACCACGCGACGGTCACTCCCCCATTTTGCGGGGCGGAAATACGGGGATATTTGTCGTGCTGGCCTTTTGTATGTCTGTCTGTCAGCCAATCTGTCTCTCTCGCTCTCTCTCTCTCTCTCTCTCTCTCTCGCTCTCCCTCCTTGCCGCTGCTGCTGGTCAGATGACCCCCGTGTCCTGCTTGGATAGCCGGGGCGACGAGCCCTCGATTTGTCCGCCCGGCTCCGCCCCCTTCCCCCCTCTTTCGGCCGGGAGGACATCATCCCCTCGACCACGTGCACTGCAGAAAAGGCCTACCTCAGAGACGAACGCTTTTTCGAGCTTACTGTAGCCGAGACTAACGAATTCCGAAGGAAATTGACCCCAATTCACGAATCCCGCGGATTGAGGCCTCATTTGATTACGCCACCTAAAGCCTGGCTGCCAGTTCGCCGATTCGCTACGGTATTGGGCTTATTGTACGCCAGGCTACGATATAATCGATCTAAAACCGATCGAAACCCGCGATATTCCAGAAGGCGAAGGCTTGAACTTGTCGAATTGATTACGATAGCCTAACCGGGTCCTCGAAAATTCGCTGGATTACTGTATTCGGGTTACTGTAGCCCAAACTATCATTTTCAAAAGGTATTGGATCCAATTACGCCACGAAAACCGCATCAAACGAAATGACGACGATCTCGATGCGGCCACCCGGTGATTTGAGTCTCGAAAGCCTGAGGTAGAGCTTTTTAAAGGGGTGTTGAAGGCAAAACAGCCATGGATTTGGACCAACTGACAGCCAGAAAGACGCTGGCAAAGTTCATTTTCCCACCAAATCTTCGCCCCTTTCCCGTGACCCCCGAAAGGGCAAAAGTTGGCGTCGGCCAGGTCGGGCCAGTCGGATCAAAGTGGAATTTTTTCCGGCTTGTGTCTGAGGTGTTTTTAAAACAGAAAAAATCGTGTTGGATTCCAGAAAACACGAAATTTTCGTACGGACCGCAGAATTCCGCTCGAGTCCTTTTGACACCAATTGTAAGCTTAATTTCTGACGTATTTCTGTCATATAGTGACACAAACTATCAAAATTTCAATAATTCTGCTGGAATGCTTTGTGTGATCTGTCTCTCTCTCCCTCTCTCTCTCTCATTCTCTCCCTCTCTCTCTCGCTCTCTCTCTCTCTCTCCCCTCTCCCTATCTCACTCACTCTCTCTCACGCTTGGCTCGCCCTCTTTCTCTTTCTCTCTCGCGAGAGGACCAATAGTACGATGTCTACGGTATATAGCCCGCGGGCAGGAACCTGCTTTTCATACCCACCCGATAGCACCAAAGCGAGAAACGGCTCGCAAATACTCGTAAAAGGTGCCATTAAAGGTATCGCCGACGGTCATAAATCGTCGCTAGATGGAGAGAGAGAGAGAGAGAGAGAGAGAGAGAGAGAGCGAGAAAGAGGGACCGAGATTCAGAAAGATCGTACAGAGGATTCCAGAGGAATTCTTGGAATCCCGAGCTATTTTTGAAAAACGGATTCCATCGAATCCATTTTTTAAAGAACCATTGAAGCCTCAGAATTTTCCCCAAGAGTCCCTGCTAGCCATCTCTATCTCTTCTATGGCGTTAGCAGACAATTTTACGACCCTCGTGTCTTCTTGGCTATCAATAACTATCAGAATCGGGAGGAGGGGGTGTTATTTGTTGTGTTCCGTATGCCAGAAGAGGGCCATATTTGGAGAAGCGCCTCTCGTTCTGTCTGCCTCTCTCTCTCCCTCTCTCTCTCTCTCTCTCGCCCTCTAAACCATCCATTCCTACAGCTTCTCTATTTACCGACCCCTGTTAAGCGCCCCCCGAAAACATCAGCAGATACCGGTATACCAGCCCCCTTAAACCCGTTTACTCTCGGTCAAAACCACGCGGAATACGGTAGCTGGAGCACAAAATGAGACCACAGACCGTTGGAAAAGAGTCTAGGCAAGCTAGCAGAAAGCATTTGACCCTAAAAAGTGACTTTCCGGCCTACCTGCCCGCCGCCTGGCCTACCTGGGCTTGTAGTTTGTAGCCGCAGGTGTGGGGCGCCCGCCTGAACTTTCCAATTTCTTCGCTGACTGCCAGATCGTGGATTGAATATTTTTTTAGTGCCTCGAAATTTGCGTCTTCCGGTTTAAGGGACTTTTTTTGCTTTTCCGAGTGTCATTTGGCGAATAGAAATAATTTGTAATGTATCTAAATTTCGTAATAATCCATTTTAAACCCATTTCTTGCTCTGCTGACTACCAGTTGACGGATTAAACCAGTTTTAAACTTTCTAGATTTGTATTTTTTTACGTTTTCAAAAATTTTTTGGTCTGTTGACGGCCAGTTTGCATTATCCCAGGTCAAAAATCGCTATTTTCGGAGCAGAGTTACCCTTTAAAATCCACTTTTCTAAAGTTTTCCAAATATTTTTGGCTCGGTTTTTGCCAGTGTACGTTCAGCGCCTCTAGACACCGTAATATTTGCGTATTTGCAGGTGCATGGGCAGTTCGCACCTCGTGGAAACGGTCAACATCAACCTCGAGGACTTTTCGGAGGCGTTTCTCACGTGTTCCACATGTTTGTATCAGTACGATCAGGTACGCAAACACGCGACTTTTGACGGATTTTTATGACGTAGTGCATTAAAAATAAAACTATCAAGGGCAAAATCATTAAAATCGCATAAAAATTCATGTAATTTCTATAGCAAAAGAATTTGCGATGGAAAATTAAAACGGCAAGACTTTGCTAAGAATTACATTTCGTAATGCATAAAATTAGCCATTTAGCGGTTTAAAAATTGTTAGAACAATTTTGTTGTTAACTCCGGAAAACTGGCACTCTGTCTGTTAAAAATAAGCTGCAAAAATAAATTCTAAGGGGCAGAAGCGGATTCCTAATCGCATGCCTAATTAAATTCGCGTAATTGTTTTTTGAATACTTGAAAACTAGATCCGAAATTTTTAACCTCCCGAAACGCTCCAATTTTCCGGATTTTACCTTTTGGGAAGAGGCCAAATTTCCGACCTCGTCAGCAGGATCGTTTCGTCTAATCGAATCACCGATTTTGGCATCAAGGAAAAAAGGGCTGCTCGAAAGGGGGTATGGGTTTTTGTAGAAAAAAGGGCTTATAGGCAACGTAAGGGGATCGTTACCTTAATTGGGGCCAATAAAACCCAAGAAACGATTAAAAATAATGGGAATTCCGGGAGCTATATCGATTAGGACTGAAAGCGAGAGAGCGATAGAGAGAGACAGCGAGAGAGAGAGAGAGAGAGAGAGAGAGAGAGAGGAAGAGAGAGATCCCAGCAAAATCCATTTCCTAAAAAATCTTCACTGGCTGACCCCCAATTCACTTTTAGGATGAAAGAAAGGCGAAACTCCTTCCCTGCTCTCACAGTGTCTGCCTTGTTTGTCTACAACAATTACTACAAGTTCAACAGGTTCGTTTGTGTCCCTTTGCAGAAGAGAGAGAGAAAAGAGAGAGAGAGAGAGAGAGAGAGATTTAAAGAAATTCTTACAGAACGCGAATGCCCCGTCCTCGTGCCTGAGGTGTCCAATGTGCCGTGAAGTATTTGCCCTTCCTCAAGGCGGAATACATCTACTACCCGCCGCTTTTATGATCAATCAGCTGCTGGATGTGATGAATAAGCAGAGAAAGGTATCTTTCAAGCTTCCCGCGCTCGTTAAAAAGTCGTATGGATTTTCAGCGCCTCGACACGCGACGCGCACGCCCGGATTCTATTACGTAATGGATCCCGTGCGCGTCGCGTGTACGGCCGCAAAAAAAAACAATTTATTTTTTGTACATCTGCTAAAAAATCTTCATTAATGAGTATTTCAGGATGTCGTCCCACATTGCGCCCTTCACCCGGATGATAATATGTTGTATTGTGAGGGGTGTGATCTCGTGTTTTGTCAACATTGCCAACAGACGGCTACAAAGTAAGTCGAGCTCTTACTTTGGCACGCTCTCTCTCCCTCTCTCTCTCTCTCTCTCTCTCTCTCTCTCTCACCATCTACCGCGCTAGCTCGCTCTGGCTCTCTGCGCCCCTCCGTCTCACTTGCTCTCTCGCCGTTTAACTCTCTCTCCCTCTCTCTCTCTCTCTCTCTCTCTCTCTCTCTCTCTCTCTCTCACTCTCTACCGCGCTAGCTCGCTCTCGTTCTCTGCGCCCCTCCGTCTCACTTGCTCTCTCGCCGTTTAACTATCTCTCTCTCCCTCCCTCTCTCTCACTCTCTGGCGCTCTCTCTCACATTTTCCCTCTCTCGCTCTCTCCTTCACTCTCGCTCTCCCAATCTTCCTCTCTCGCTCTCTTTTTCCTACTGTCACTGCCCCTTTAACTACCAAATTCCTTCCAGCAAAAAATGCTCGCAACATACCGTAATCCCGCTGGCCATCGCCCTGAAACGGATGAGCGAAATAATGCTGTATCGGACAAAAAATCGGCTGAAATCGCTTGAACAGGTGAGCTACCGTAGTCAGAATTTTAAGACTTTTGCTTGAGCGTGTTGCGTGCCGCGGATGAGGCAAAATCCCTAGATCCATGCCGGGAATGCCCCTTTAAAATCGTGATTTCCAGGCGCAAACGGCCATCAACGAGGAGATCCGATTACTCGATGAAAATGCGGACACGATCGTCGACCAGATCAATTCCACTTTTCAGGTTTGGAAAATCGGCATTTACCTAAGTAATTGAATTTAGGAGGTCTCGCATATAATCGAGGCGAGGAGAAGAGAACTTTTGGAAAGTGTACGCGTCAGGAGGGACGATAAGCGAAAGGTATGATATGCCAAAAAACGTCGTAAAATTGCCTTAAAATTCTAAATTTTTTCCTAAAATGAATTTAACACATTCTTTCGATTTATTAGTACAGTTTTATAAGATTTAAATTGCTAAAAAACGTATAATCAAGTTCCTGCAATGATTTTTTTCGAAAATGTCGATGAAAATTATCCTTATTCGGAAAATTTTATAAAATCGATATTTTTCTATCGTAAAAACCAGTTAAATCTAATCGTCTTATTATTTAATTATCTATGATGTAGTTTTGTATTGCATAACTTGAATTTACGTAAATTAGCGATTTTTAGATACAAAAAGGCCGATTTTTTATGAAAATTAAAAATTTCAGTTTTTTAGGCAATTTTTCTACTTTAAATCGGGTTAAATTTTGCTAAAGCCACTATTAAAGTTTACTATTATGTTATTAGGCATTTCTGGACTATAGGGAAAAATACACTCCCCCCGATAACGCAAAAGAACCAACATTTATGGTAATTATAGGTACTCCGGGATCAAGTGGAAACGCTGTCCGACGAGACGAAACGCCTGGAAAAGGTATATTTTTCGATTTACGGATTTAAATGCACGAATTAATTTTTTAACAGATTTTTGTCGACTTTTCCAAGTAAAAAACTGTCGCTTTTCAGGAGCTCGAAACGGGTGCCCTCGACGTGCGAGAATTGGGGCGAAAAATCCGTGAATGGGAAGGGAACGGAGGGGACGATCGGATGAATATCGAGCCGAGGGAGAACGCGTTTTTGAGGCTCAACAATGACACCAAGCAGCTCATACAAGGTATCGCATTTTAAGAGCGAAAATTCAACGTTAAAAATCACCCAAACTCCATATTTTCATGTCGTAATCGTTTGACGTTTTGGAAAATACGAATTTTTGCTAATAAGCACCCGTTAATCGAAAAACGAACCTTCCACAGTATCCGCACATCCAGAGGAGCGTTACGCAGCTTGAAAGCGCCTCATTTTCATGTCGTAATCGTTTGTTAGACAAGGGAAAAAACCGTTTTCTTTAACATAACCCGTTCATCGAAAAAACGTACGTGCAGCGGATCGTTGCGTAGCCTTAAAACGCATCATTTTCATATCGCAATCGCGTCCTTTGCTCTCAAAATACACAAGAATGTACATTGTAGATTATGCGTACGTTAATGGAAAAAATGGAAAAACGTACAGAGGAGCGTTGCGTAGACCTATATTTCATGGTGTAACCGTTTTTCAGACGTCTCGAGCTGTGTGGGATCGTTTGGAGGGCTGAGCGCGTCGACGACATTCCCCGGAACATCTACAATCGACCAAACCGAACCCTCGACAACACATACCGAATCCACATTCCGCGTCAATACCGCTGACGTCAATGGGAAACCGAGGTACTGACGATTTTGCAGTAAAAATTCGTTTACGGAGCTAATTTTTCTTCTTAATTGATTCAGAGGGTGTTTCTAAACGAAAAAAATTCGATTTTCCACCAAAAATGGCTGATTTTAAAGCAAAATTTCGACCAATGAAATCAAATAATTAAACATTTAGAATTAATGTAAATTTTTAAAACAAATTTGCTTCCAGAAACACGGGCGGAGACCCGATCTCGGCGTGGCTAGAGGGCGACGGCATCGAAAAGGTGCAGTGCTCGGTGAAGGACAACGAAAATGGCAGCTACGATGTCACGTTTAGGTGAGAAAAAAACGGGAATTTGGGAAGATACTTTAAAAATACATAAAAATATGATTTTTGTCTAAAAAAAAAATCCATTTTCAGAGTGCGCGACGCCGGTGACTACAATCTGCACGTGAAAATCTTTGGTCGGCCCGTCAAAAATAGCCCATTTTTGGTGTCGGTGATCGACCATCATTCGCCAAAGTAAGAGATTAGTTGTAGTTTGTAGTTTTTGACATTGTAACGATTCTAACGCGAATTTTGGAACATGATTTTCCTCGAATTTTCTAAGTAAACCCGAAAAAAATAATTTTTTTGGCCGTCGCATAGTCGTTTTGAATTGATAGTAATTTTAATGATGTTTTACAAAATTCTAGTCTCTAAATGACTTCGAAAATTCGTTAAAACCATTCAGATGGCAACTAGCCGTGGAGCTGAAACAACCGACGCGCGTCTGCCTCGACGGCCCCGAATTCTACGTGTTGGACACGGGCAATAATAGGAGTACGTTTAAGTGAAGCTAAAGTTGTTTTAAAGTTTGTAAGACCTTAAAAACTACTGTAAAAGCTATTAAAAACAATTGTAAACTGGAGATACCACGCTATAATTTACACAAACATTTTTAGGGATTAAAATTTCAAAAAATCGTGTTAAAACCTTTTCAGGAAATCTCGAATTTGGAAGCGCTTGAAGAAATTTTAATAAGACCGTTAAATTCTATTTTTCAAAGAACTCAAAAAGAACGTTAAATATTTTTAGAAAAAAATAGATTAAAAAAAGGTGTGGCGCGCGACAGTGACGCTTGTAGTTTTTCGAGATTTACCTTTCAAAAAGTAGCTAAATCGTTAGTTTTCAAGTTTTATAAACTTACTATTATTAGCGACTTTTTAGCTACTTGAAAGATGATTGTGGCCTTAACTTATCCATTTTTTAGTCCGAGTTGTCAAAGACAATGGGGACGTCGTCAGTGATATCACCTCGCCGTGTTTGGAGGTAGTTTACAACGATTTTTATCGAAAAACACATAAAGAATTTGCATTGAGAACTATAGGACTGTCTAATATATCGAATTTCTATAAAATGAAACCTTTTTAGGGCGGCTCGGCCGTCGGGATGGCGATGGTCGAAAAAGAGAGAATTGCTGTGTTGAATTGGAAGCAGAAAAGCGTCAGCATTATCGACACGAAACGAGGCGAGATTGTTCGCGTAGGTTTTTGACGGGTTTAAACGGTTACGACATATAAAAGCAAATCGTGCTGGGACTTTTTACTAAATTCAGAGATGTTTAATCGATCACGCCGTCTAATTCAGCCTTAAAATACTGTTTTACACAACCTACTGTCAGTTTTTGCAAGTTTTATCGATTACGCGCGATTTTGATAGCTCTCAGATGAGTTTAATAGATTACGCCATAAAAATTACCTGTAAAAACGATTTTAGCAAGTTTAACCGATTAAGCGGTGTTTTGAAAACAAAAATCTGCACCCATTAGACGGGTCTAATCGATGACGCCATGAAAACCAACTGTAAAAATGGCCATTTCTTGCCAAAAAATGACGGGAAATTTATTAAAATAGCCGAAACTAGGTTTTTAACAAGTTTAACCGATTATGCCATGAAAAGACCGACCAGAAAACCGCCATTTTTCCGTAGAAAATCAAGAAACCCCGCACATTTTCAATGTGCTTAACCGCGGTTACGCCATGAGATCAGCTTTAAAACGGCGATTTTGCTTGCAGAAAATGGTGCACGCCGAGCTGCAGGCACCGATGGATTTGGCGGTAGATCGACGCGGACGGCTGCTGGTGGCCGACGTGGAGAAAGTGTTCGTCTTCGACCCGCAATTCCAGCTTCTCTTCTCATTCGCCCCAAAGAACAACCACATCACATGTCTCAATGTCGGCCTCAACGACGATATCATGGTACGTTTTGTAACCGGCAGTATTTTCATAATGTTTTTGAGTAAAATTAAACGATATTTTAACTGGAAAACTATCTAAAAACTTTGAAAAATCGAAATTTTGCGCAAAGACGGTCATTTTTGGATGAAAATATATTTTTTCTATTTTTTATAAATTTTGGAAAGTTTTTACGTTTAGGAATAGTAAAAAACGGCTTAGAAACCCTTCCCTAGAAACAGTTTCGTAGTTTTAGTAGCGTTTCTTGTTGTTTTTCGTAGTTTTTGACAGCTAAAAAGTCACAAAAATAACTTAATATTTTTCTAAATTCAAAATCGTCCTTTTTCATACATTTTCGAGCAGCAACTCTAAAATTCTAAGGTATTTTGGCGCTTTTGATGTCTAAAAACTGTGTAAACTCCTATAAAAATGGCTTGTACAGCATTATTGGGAAAAACTAGTTGCTCCACCCCCCGCTAACAGCACAGTACCTTATTTTTCACCTCAAAACAGCAAAAAAATTAGCAAAACCATGAATTCAGGTGGGGACAAACCAGGGCCTACAACTGTTCGACGGTGCCGGGCGTTTCCTGCGTGAGATTCCGGTTGGCAGCAGCCGGCCAATGCTGGTGGAATCATGTGCCGTATGCCCTTCTACTGGCAGAATTATGGCAGGAGTTGTCGATTCGAAGACGAGGAGACCACAATTGGCCGTCGCCCTCTATAAGGTAAGAGAGCAAACCAGCGGAGATCATTTAGGAAAATTTAAAAAAATTAAATTTTGTTTCGGGCAGGCTTGCAGTGATCATTTGCGAAATTGAAGTTAGTAGCGAGAAACCAAGAAACTGAAAAATGCGACGGGCCAAGGTAGAAAATTTTTTTCGGCTGGAGCAAACTAGCAGGGATCATTTAGGAGGATTTATCCAAACAGGGGCAAGCTAGCAGAGATCATTTAGGAAACGATTTCTACGCGGCGGGCAAGTTAGCAGACGTTTTTTAGCCGGAAAAATTCGGTTTCGAGCGCATTTTTGACATTTTTCCGGCTGAGCAAACTAGCAAAGACCATTTGGGAAGCTTTAACCAAAAGGGGTAACCGAGCAGAGACCTTTGAACAAACTAGCAGAGATTATTCAGGACATGACAGCCCAAGCCAGGGCGAGCTAGCAGAGGTTTTTTTGAGGAAAAATTCCGTTTCGAGCGCATTTTTGACGCTTTTCTCGGCGGGGGCAAGCTAAGGAAGATCATTTAGGAAACGCTAGTTGAAGGCATGGCAAGCTAGCCGAGGTTTTTGGAGGAGAAATTCCGTTTCAAGAAGAGTTTTGGGTGTTTTTGGCTGTGGGCAAGCTAGCAGAAAACATTTAGAAAACGCGTAGGGCATGCTAGCAGAGGTTTTTTAGGAGGCCCTAACCCAGTCGGGGCAAGCTAGCAGTATTCTTATGGAAAATGTTGCAGGGTCAATTCGTGTTCCACATCGACTCATTCGGTTCTCGTCTCCGCCGCCCATCCGGTCTCTCAATGGGTTCGGGCCATCGTGTCGGCCAATGTTTCGTCGTCGATCACGCCTGCCATACTGTACGCATGTATAAATTCTTGTAGTTTGTGGCCCCGGCCTTTTTAACCCTCAAATTGTACCTCAAAAACCGCCGGCTATCCACCAAATTTCCCACAAAAACATATCTTTTCGCGCGTCTCCTTATTTTGTAGTTTGTATCCTCCTTATTTTTTCTGCGATTTTTATGACCAAATTCCGTTGCACATACAAAACATACCGTACCCTTCCACCCACCCCATTCTAGTCACCCTCACCGCCGCATTTATTGCATTTTTATGTTTGTTTTTTCAATATCCCATATTTTTCATTTTTGCATAGGAACGGGTTTTGAAAGAACCGATTTTTTTTGTGTATGACCGTTTTTAGCAGAATAAATTGTAACGGTTTTCACGCACAAAATACAGAAAATTAGCTGGGCATGCGATGAAAAGCGAAAAAAGCCTAAACCAAGCCGGCGCCAAAGCCAAGTCCACTTTCGAAATGGCCAAACGCTAGTTTGTTGTTTTTTCGACGTTCTCTACGACGCTATAACAAAGTATAAACCATTTTTATAGTATTTTACATAGTTTTTAGATATAAAAAATAAAAAATTTCAAAAATTTTTCACTTTTTGGTCTAAAATGTATGAAAAATGACCTAAAAACCTTAAATTTTCAAATGTTATAAAAATTTTTTGTAACTTTCTAGCGATCAAAAACTTAAAAACACTATAAAAATACAAAATATATTATCAATAGGCGGAAAAAAACAGAAAGTAGTTGCCCCCCCCCGCTAACAGCCCAGCACCTTTTTGCTAGCAATCACTCCCGCTCGAACCAGATTTCCGGCAAACTGGCAAAGCTCATTAGCCGACGGTCAGGCCACGATTTTCATGGCGTGTTCAATAGCGCGCCCGTTGGATCAGCCCATGTCACGTTGTGGGCCAGCACACCACTAGTGCGTCAGCCCCGCTCGCTGGCCCATCGATTATTCCCCGTCTGCCGGTCTTTCTCCCCCTCTCTTTCTCGGCATCTGTCTCTTTTCCTCTTTCTCGGCTTCTCCACCCGTTTATTGCACTAAAAACTCGTGAACTGCCCCCCTTCTGACCGTTTCCACGTCAATATCTTTCGCCTCGTACCGCCACTGGCTATCTGTCCCCAAAAAAAAACACTCTCAAAACCCCGCGAACATTGTCATCAAAAGTCTAAACTTTTATGATTTTGAAAACTAGCCTAAATAACGCTCCAAAATAACGTAATAATTTATTTTTGAATTTTAACATGCAAAAATAACTAATTTTAACCTATTTTCAAGAAATTTTGACGTTAAAACACGCCCCCTTCACGCTGCAAACCCATTTACAGCGATAATGATAATGTAACGCATTGGTTTCGCAATAAAAACTATAAAAATCGCTTGAAAGTGCCGCATTCTCAGGTTTTTGAGCCGAAAATCGTATTGCAAGGTATCCTGTTAATGTCTATAAGTGTTTACAATTCGTATATCGTTATAAAATATGGTTTTAGTAATTTTTGAATGCGAAAAACACGCTAAAAAGATAGAAACCCGTAAACAAAAGAATTACCAGCGGACGTGCGCACCCTCTGCACAATGTAAAAACGAGTTCACGTTGCGATGCACCGAAAACTGTGCGTAAACCAGGCGATCCGAACAATTTTGCCAATTCCATTTTTCGAATTTTCTACCAAAAAATTGTAAATTTCGGGTATACATTTCGTGTATAAAATATTTTTCTGCTTTTTAAACCTATAGAAACGCTAGCGCTTATCTCCATGTTGGATTTGCTGGCGCAGAAATCACCGTCTTGGGCTCTACTTTAAGGGTTTTTGGCAAAATTTTGCTTTTTTTTCTTGAGCTAAACCCATTTTTTCGTTTTTAACGCTTCTAAAAGGCTTTGTTTCCCCTCCGCCAGGCTTTTCCAGCGTATTTCTAGCGCCTCTCGCTCATTTTTTTGCCTCCGTTCTTCTTGCCATTCCTTTACCCCTGTGTTCTCATACTTGTCTGCTTGGGGCTTGTGTGTTTCTGTGCTCCCATGCTGCCGCCACTGCCCTGCTAGGTGCCGCATAATTACTGCTTGGGGGAGATCGTGAGATTGCCCTCCTCAATTGCCCTCAAGGCTGCATTTGGCTTCAAATCCCAGTGATAAGCCATCTGACACATCCGGCTAAACGCCATGGCAACGCCTTCGGGGTAGGACGGGCGGGTTTTTAGCCCTCAGGCAGGTTGATTCCCGGGGCGCGCAATAGCAGTGACAGCCTTTTAGGTCGCGTAATGCAACTGATTACTCGATGTTTTGTTGAAACAAAAACTATTATAAGTGTAAGAAACTATATTGCTTTGATCGCAAGTTTATTTTAACGGCAAGAATAGTATAATAATGCACGACGGCCGATTGTATATATGATGATGATCAGGGCAGGGCTTTACAACGGGGCGATAAAACCTTTGCTTGCTTGTACGTATAAAACCAAATATCTTAGAAAAAGCAAGACGCATCCGCAAGGGAGACATTATCAAATATATTTTGTCGAGCCTTCTAGCTTCTCGGCTTGACAGCACGGGTGCAATCAACGGAAAAAATTTTGGGCCAAAATCATGACTATGTATGCTTCGCGCAAAATTTTACCGATACCTTTCCGGACTCGACGACCACTCTGAATAAAGTATTTCATATTTGTAAAAGTATGCTTTGTTGTAACCGGAACCAAGGCAGGCCTGTTGTTCAGAATTCTCCTGCTGCCGGACAGCGTAAGATCAGCGCTAAAACTATGCTTACAGGAATTCGCCTTGGAAAGAAAGAAGCGGCTTAGTTTTGGATAGTTCTGGTCTATTTGTTGAAAACCTCCTAGTTTCTCAGCCCAACCTTGTTCGATTCATAATTGCGCTTCTTAAACCTATGTGACCTTAGGAAACCCTACTTTTCATCGTGTATCGCTCGGAAGTGTGGCCTGAAAGCTTCTTGAGTGGATACCCTAAAGTCATAAGTCAGAACTGATTTTAGAATTCCCCTGTTAATCCTGATGCACCCTTGTGTGATGCGTCTTGCTGTTTCCAAAATATTTGGTTTTATACGTACAAGCAAGCAAAGATTTAGCGCCCCGTTGTAAAGCGTCGACCCTAGCAATAAGCCGTTGTCCATGTGATTATACTATTCTTGTAGCTGTAACTGTAAGATAAAATAAACTTGCGATCAAAGCAATATAGTTTCTTACACTTATAATAGTTTTTGTTTCAACAAAACATCGAGTAATCAGTTGCATTACGCGACCTAAAAGGCTGTCACTGCTATTGCGCGCCCCGGGAATCAACCTGCCTGAGGGCTAAAAACCCGCCCGTCGGGGTAGGGGATATGTTTCTAAGGCTCTCATTAGGCTTTGGAACTGATTATATCGTGCATAAGCTAATAAGCTGCCTTTCAGTAATTTTTGGTGTATCCATCCCTCGACTTCGATGATTTCAAGGCTTCGGTAGCTTAGGCGGCTTGACAACTGCCAGGTCGTTAGGTTTTAGATAGCTTTTAGATTGTTTAGGTAGCGACAAGAATTTTCCAACATGTCTTTTTCGTGTTTTTTTTTCAGTTCAGGTTTTGCAGCATTGCTATACAGTGCCACTCTTGATGTGCTATTAGCCTGGAATCACAAAAAAGTACTTAAATTACTTCGCAAGCTTTATTGTAATATTTTTGTCTCTAATATATGGTCATAACGCTTACTACGATCAGCTCGGCAAGCTTTAGAATTGAGCCTTTAGGCCTTTTTTTTTGGTTTTGCGCTTGGCAGTTTTCCGAAACATCGGAGTTTTTCTAAACCTACGACTAATTTTTTGACGGTTTTTGCGTTTTCACATTTCCCGGGACTTTTAGAACCGTTCAAACGGGGAAAATAGGCTAACCAAGCGGTACTGTTGCAGGCAGTGGTTGTGCGGGCAGGATTCTGTCTTGATCTATCACTCTGATTATGGGGATGAAACGACCGTTGGAGACTTCCGCTTCTTCTGCTTCTTTTCCCGGAGACGGATTGATCAAACGGACTTCTTCAGGTGGGATGCGTGACGAAGAGCAAGAGGCCGGCCAGCCGTCGACAAGCCCCTCCACCGCCACCAAGGACCACGAAGACGTCAACATGGAGGTGTGGTTTTTTTTGGAAATGCGGTTTTGTACGGAAAGTTGTCCCAAAATGAAAGAGGAATCTGCGTTCTTTCACGTTGTCGAGGCGGAATCGATTTTTTTGTAAAACGAGTACTTTATTCTTTTGTTCTAGATTTTATTTGTTTAGAATTTACAATTTTAAAAAGTTAGAATGTTTTTTTTTGTCTAGAATTTTTAATATAAAGTCTAGAAATGCCTTGTAACTCCAAGAAAGTATTTTGCTGGTGTTTTGAATATAACTTTGCTCTGACTAGAAAAGCTATCTAAAAATTGGTGCTAGACTTTTTGACGAGGTTATAATGCGCTCCGCTTAAGCTACTTAGTTTTTCTAGCTTTAGTTAGCTTCAAGTATGCCTAGCTTAGGCCCCAACTAGGGTTATCTTAAACTTTCATTTGCCCTAGGAGGTCAAAATCGGGGGATTTAGAGCCTAGCTTGGAGCTAGCTTAAACTTCATTAGTATAAAGCTAAACCTGGGCTTAGGATTAGCTTAGCTTTTCCAGAGGCTTGGAGTATTAAAAACGGCGTCTGCCGCGTCCTGTAGTCAACATCCGGGCTGCCCACCCCCCTCAATTGCAGTAACACCTAAAACTTTTTGAAAATTCGAAATTTTGGTTAAAGAAACGATATTTCTGTTTTTTAGCCAAAATGTGTGTTTTTACGATTAGATTTTGTAATAAAGTTTGGAACCCCCCCGATAATGCGAAAATTCTTCCGAGCCGAACTATTGGGATCCGCCATTTCATTTGATTTTATTTATTTTAAATTTTCGTTCCAGGTCGACACTCGTCCGGCTGGTGCCCGTCAATCCCGCCTGAAGCGCATCTTCATCGACAAGGTACTTTATTATCGATTTTACATTTTTTACCCTTTCTTGTTTAGTCGCTGCTACCCGAATGCGCGCACGCCGAGGTGACGGAACGCCTGGAGGCCCTCGTCGCCGCGGATTTGGCCTGGGGTTCGTGAGCCTCAATTTGTTGCCAATATTTTGTTTAGACAAATCCGAGGCGCACGACATCCTCTACGCCGCGTGCTCCGGGTTCGCCAACGCGGAAGAAAATTTGACGGCCGACAACCCGATGGAGACGACTCTCGGGTCCGTTTCGATTTTTGTGTATTTTTAAACATGAAAAACTTAATCTCGATTTTGCGGCTTAAAGGATTTACCACTTTTTAGCTAAAACTCTAAATTTTCAAACCGATTTCGAAGTCTATTTTAATAAGTTGTTCACTTCAATTTGGCTAAGCTGCTCAAAACATTTCTATAATACTTCTTATTTCATGATCTGGCAGTATTTGCTAAAAATTTTCCTCCCGCCCCGCCGATAATGTGAAACTTTTACTGGCACGGTTTTAGCGTGTTTTTCGGTTGCGAGAAGGGGTGGAAACGTTTTGGTTATCTGTAGAAGTATTTTTAGTTCTTCCGCAAATTGCACAAACTTTTTTTAGAAGCGGAATTGGCTAATTTTAATTCAGGAACGGTTTCTCCACAATTTTTTAGTATTCTTTCAATGGAAAATGGAAAATTAGCGATGTTTCGATTAAATTTTCGATTTTTGTTTTGAGTTTTACTAGTCACCTTCAAATCTGCGTCAATTTTTTAAGATTGAATTACACTACATTGTATTACTAGCTAGGCTTCTGCTCTTTAGGGTTATCCTTACGCAGCGATTTTCGAAAGCCCCTTTTTAGCATCCGCAACTGTTTTTTTTTTGTGATCTTTGAACCCAAAATTTCCTAGAAACGCGGGTTTTTAGCTCTCAAAAATTGCATACCATTTTTGTGATTTTCAGGTCGGTGCTGAACGTGCCCGAGATCGACAACATCGTCGAGCGGAAGGAGGGCCAGGCCCTGCGTTTCCTGATCGCCCTGGTGCAGCAGATCGACACCGAATCTCGTCAGCCGGTCCGTTTTTCGCAAAATTTTTCCAATATTTTGATTTTAGGACGTCATGGAGAACGAGTTCGCGCTGTTGATGAGCTTCCGGGACGGCGCGATGCTGGTGATGGGGCAGCTGATGGCGGGCGACGTGGCTGGGTAATTTTTTGTTTTGACAATAAATGAAAAGGCCTAATTCTGGATTTTTGCTGGACATGGATTCTCTAAGGTTGCTCTGTTCTAGCTAGTCCAGAAATTCTTATTGATGCCGTTTTTACGTATCGATCGAAAATTCTTAACAAATTAAGAATTTTTACTAAATTTCTCGAAATTTGAGTTTTTTAAATCGTTGACGTGACTTTTATTATTCAGCAACTAAACGGATGCTGGGCTGTTAACGGGGGGAGCGAAGCCTTTCTGCCTATTGATTTTGTTTTTTAGCAGCTTTTAATTGCTAGAAAGTTTAAGGATGTATGGAAAATTTGAATTTTTGCTCAGAAAGTCAGTGTAGAAGTTTTTGACTTTTTAGTAAGCAACGCCTATAAAAAATATAAAGTATCAAAATGGTTCTGGACTTTTAGCGGGCGGGACTGAAAATTCTTAGCAAATTGTTGGAATTTTATATTTTTAGTCCAGCCTAACTATATTTTCTTTGCTTTGAAAACACTGTCATTTTCAGGCTCGACGCCCGCCTCTTCAACATCGCCTTCTCAAACGCGGCGTACACGATGCAGATCGGCGAGCCGTTGTTCACCAAGCTCATCTCGGTCGTCCACGACCACCTCGGCGACCAGATCGACAGGGTAGGAAACCTTTTAATTTGACCATAAACTCCCTTCTTTTAGGTGTTCAACGGCCTGCTGACGCTGCAGAAGACGTTCCTCATCAAGCAGTCAATGGTCCACCAGAATGATCAGTACGTCGTCCACCCCTTCCAGGTATATCTTGCTTTTTTTGGGTTGTTAGCGGGGGAAACGGACCCGAAAAGATCTGTTCAAAAATTTTTACGTAATAAAGGGTAGTTTTTGGAGTTTTAGAAAGTTTGAAATTCGATTTTGGGCGATTTTTGTACATTTATGACTCAAAATCAAATTTTTCGGGGGGATTTTCGTAATTAGTTAATTTTTTTAGTAGGTTTAGATTCCTAGAAAGTCATAAAAAGCCGAGAATTCACGGATTTGTTTCTAATCTTTTTGTATCTAAAAACTAAAAATACTTCATAGAGATACACAGAAATTGCGCGCACCCCCCTCCCCCCGCTAAGAGCTTGGTACCCTTTTACCGCCTGCTAAACATGTTTTTTCAGCTCGTCCTCACGCTGCTCAACATGAAGGTGGTCGACAAGGCGACGAACACGACGATCCGCCCGATCCCGGCAGTGGTAAGTGACGCTTGATCGTATTCTCTAAATTACCTTCTTCAGCTCTGTCGCCGCCCCGACTTCAACCCGGAGCCCGTCTCGTCGGTGGGCGGCCGCGAGACCGAGGTGCTCAGCTACCTGGGCCCCTTCTTCGCCTACTCCGTCCCATCCGAGGATCGAAGCCCCAACCTGCAGCAGCTGTTCGACGTCACCGAGTACCCGCTGGACGATGAGCGCACGGCATTCTACTCGCCATACCGCATGCGGATTGCCAACTTCAGGGTAACGAATTTAAATTAAAATTTTATTATTGATCTAAAATTATCTAAAGTAATTTTTCGCTGTTTTTCTGCTATAGGCGCGTCAAAAAGTATTGAATGTAAGCCGTTTTATTGGCATTTTGTAATTTTTTTCCGTTATAGAAGTTGCATAAAATCTTTTTAAAAGCTCGAAAATTACGAGTTTTGAGTCAAACATCTCTAGAGTTTATGGTTAGAAAGATAGTGGTTTTGGATAGCTGTAGCTCGTCTTTTCTTTAGAAAAAGTGTGTGATTTATTATTTTCCAGCAGCTTAGAAGATAAATTTAGTAAACTGACGTTTTTTTTGTGGTAAACTAACTTTTCCTTTTCAGAAGTACATGTCCGGGATTGCGCTGGCCCTCTTCGGCAACGCAGCGACCCGTGGCCCAACCCTCGACTACTTCGCCGAGTTGATCAAGCGCAACGCCAAGCGATCCCAGCTGAGGGTACGTTTCTTTGCAGAAAATATCTGCATTATCGGGGGAATTTTTTTGTGGAGGTCTGTTAGTGCTTAGTAACTTAATAGGAAATATTTTGCTGGTGTTTTGAGTAGAATATAACTAAATTTGGGCTAGAAAAGCTATCTACAAATTTTGAAAGGCCGAAATTTTGGCAAAATGGGGGATGTTTGGTCGAAAAATCTATATTTTTTTTGTAGTTTTTTATCAAAATTTGTCGAATTCTTCTTTAGGAATATCAAAAAAGAGTTTAGAAACTATTTATATCGAAAAATTCTGTTCTAGGCAAAATGTCCCCCCGATAATGCGATAGAACCAAGACTATAATTTCTTCCGTTTTCAGGCCGACTTCTCGAAGCTCGCCGGGCACGGGTTCGTATTCAACGTGCTGAGCGTGTTGTACGACTGCTCGGCGCCCATCGACTACAAAAAGGCAGCGCGATTTGGCGGTTGCCATGTAATTTCGCCATTTTTTAGGTGAACCCGAAATACCCGTACACGCCGAAGGCCCGTCTCGACATCGACGAGGCCACCCGCTTTCAAATGGACCTGCAGGAGGCCAGGAAGTTCGCCGCCGAGCTCTGTGAGTGTTTTTGGAGGTGCTTTTAGCGATTTTTGATTGCTAGGAAAATTAAAATATGCTCAAAATTACTTAAGTGGGAAATTTAAGACTTTTTATGCCCAAAAACGGAATAAAAAATTATGAAAATGGTTGTTATTCGCTTTTAGGAACTTCTCGACCTAAAAACGGCATTAAAGGTTGTCAAAATTGTTTGTATTTTATGATTTCTCCTGAACCATTTTTTTCTAAGGCATTTGGCCATGTAATTGAAAACCTATCTACTATATATAAATTTCTAATGTCCGTCTGCCCGTTCGACCGCGACCGGGAATTCGGCCAAATTTTACATGCAAAATCAAAATTCAAAAAGTGGGGGAGGGGAGGGCCAGCGCTGAACCCCCGCGTAGCGGGGGGTCAGCGCTGGTTAAATTACACATTTTTTCGGTGTCGGGAAATTCGAAGTTTGCTTTTATTGAAGGCTTTTTTTCAGTTCCATCGGGCAGCGAGGTGCCGGCCGACAACTTTTCTACGGAGTGCTTCTTTCTGGCGATGCACTGCCAGAACATCGGCCTCAACAGCGCCCTCACGCGTCTCAAGTACATCAAGCGCGAGTTTGCCGACATCAAGGAGAGGATTGAGGTGCGATTTTTGAACGGTTTTCGGGTTCTTTTCCATTATCGGGGGAGGGGGCAAAAATTTTTGTATTAGTCTAGAAATGTCTAGTAACATAAGGCAAAAAAGCTAATAAAACTAGCCTAGTAAAAAACTATCTAGAAGCTTTGGAATATTTTCAAAAAGTCGATTTACTCAAGAACGATCTTTTTGCTGGAAAAATCTATGTTTTTTGTTTTTATTAATCAAAATTTGTAATTTTTTTGCGTTTAGGGATATTCAAACAGTTTAGAAATTCATTCGCTATTTTATATTTTAAAAATCTTTCGCGAATTTAAAAAGGAAGCTTTTTGCCCCGCTGATAATGCGAAAGTACCGGCTTTTGAATCATTGCTTTTTTAGGGTTTGAACGAGCAGCTCCAACAACACCGCCAGCGAGCACAGCAGCCCGAAGACCCGATGGCCGCCTTCCAAGCGAACGCCATCCAGCAAGAGCTCGATCGGACGATGAAGATGAGAACGGTAAGGAATATTTTTTTCCTAAATATTTATTTCGTCTATTATTTGACGACGGGGAGCTTGAGCATTATCGGGGGGGGGGCTTTTTCCTTAGAATCCAATTTTTTGTGATTTAAATAGAGGTCTGTATTCTAAAATTTTCTTATATAGCTTTTGGCACTAATCTTACGCTTAATAACAACAAATTACTTTTCCAAATTTTTTGGATTGTTTTTCTAGTCGAAATATGTTTGAAAATTACTAGAGACAACGTTAAAATACCTAGTTTTGCGTTGCTAGGAATTTCTGTACTTACAGCCCCCCTATAATGCAAAAGTACCGACGAATTATGCCCATTTTTTGCAGCGCTACCTCCGCGTGATAATGTGCTACGAGACGCTGGTGATGGACGAGCACTTCCTCGACCAGACGCTCTTCTTCTCCAACAAGCAGCTCTTCTTCATCATCGCCCAGATCAACGAGGAGTTGTCAGTTTTTAATTATTAATTATTTTAAGTTATAATTTTTTGATTTATTAACAGATTTGAAAAGTTTAAAAATGCTTTTTCGTGTTTTTGAAAATAGTTTACCTTTCAAACGCCGGTTTTTTTAGCGTGATCGATGGCCAGCTACCCGACGCGTGCCCCCAAGTTTTCGCCGGCTACCCAGAATTCTACCTGGAGAACGTCGTCGATCTCTTCAGCTACTTGATGCAGTCAGTTTTTTAAATTTATTTTTATTCTTTTAATTCTTTCTTTTTATTTTACAATTGTTATTTTTTTTAGAAAAGCCCCGGGCACGCTCAACTCGACGGCCGCCAACGAGTACGCCGTCCGGCTGCTCATCTTCCTCTGTTCAAACAAGCTCATCAAGAACGCCTACCTCTCGGCAAAGGTTTGTTTTTTGAAATGAATTTTGCTTTTTTGCGTTTTTGGTGCTTTCGCATTATCGGTGGGGGCACAACATTTTTAGATAATTCCAACAATTTCTAATATTTTTAATGCCCTTTTTAGCCAAAACTAATTATTTGTTGAGTAGTAAAGTAGACTTCAACATTTTTAGAATTGAAATTTGACTTTTCCGTTTTTTGACGAAAATCTAAATTTTGCACTTTTCGACAACAGTTTAGAAGCATTTTCTCGATATTTTAGAAATATTCTATCCGGCGACCCCTCCCCCGATAACGCTAAAGCACCGTTTTTCTTGTACTTTCGAGCCTATTAAAATTACCGTCTTTAGATCATAGAGGTGATGTCGCTGACGACGCAAATCCCCCACCTCTGGGGTCAATTGGCCAGCCACCCGGTCGCTGAACGTCTCCTCTTCCCCTCCCTGATAGCCTTCTACGCTATCGCGGAGGAGCGCATCGACTTCTACGAGAAGTTCTCGGTCCGCCGGAATATCCAGGTACGCCATTTTTTGCGCGCTTTAAAATTCCTGTTCAGATGATCTTCAAGAAGATGTGGGAGAACTTCGGCTACCGCGCGTCAATGATCCAGCTGGCCCGAAGATGCGAGTCCGACTTCATTCGCTTCATCAACATGATCATCAACGACGCGACATTCCTGCTCGACGAGAGCCTGGCCGGGCTCAAGAAGGTCAGCGGTTTTTTGAGATTTCCGGGGTGATGAAAATCTCGGTTTCTTTTGGTATTCCATGGAATCTTAATTTTTTTCCATATGTTGTTCGAAACCTTTAGTAATGTCATAGCGAGGGATTTTAGCAAATTTTTTATTACATTTAAAATCGAAAGCTCGTTTTGCAAAATGTTTGAACGTTTAAAAAATTTGAAACTTTTGTCGAAAATCGATTTTTGTTAATTTTTGATAGTTTTCATAAAGTTTTTTAGTTAAAGCCTAATGTAAACCCGTTTAGAAATATTAGTTATATTAGAAAAACTGGTCGCAAATTTCGCGTAAAAAATTCTTTTTCAGGTGCACGACATCGAGAAGCTGATGTCGCAGACGGAGCAATGGGCCGGCCTGAGCCAAGAAGAACAGCAGGACAAACACTCGGCGCTCGACGAGGCCAAGCGCAACGTCAGAAGCTGGCTCTACTACGCCAAGTACACGCTCGACCTGCTCGAATATCTGACGGCCGACGCCAGCGAGCCCTTCCTCAAGCCGGTAAGCTGATTTTTAATGCTTTTAATTTAATTGATTTGATTGGGATTGATTGGCGAGAAGTTGCTGTTTTACTGAAATTTATAAATCTTTATTTTTCAGGTCCTCGGCGAGCGCCTGGCGGCCATGCTCGACCACAACATCAAGCAGTTGTGCGGCTCGAAGTGCTCGGAGCTGCGCGTGCGCGACGCGCAGCGCCGCTTCGACTGGAACCCGAAAGAGCTGACCACGCACGTCGTCTCCGTCTACCTGAACCTGGCCGGCGAGACGTTCGCCGACTACATGGCCAAGGATGAGGTACGAGAATTTTGAATTTTGAACTGGGTGCTTTCGCATTACCGGGCGGAGGAGGTATTTTAATTCATTTTTCGTGATATTTAGCTAGTATTAAAATTGGAAAAATGGCCTAGAAACTTATAAAAATGTTAACTTTTGGAATTTTTGTTGAAATTTTTTTAAAAAATTACGTGTTAAAATAGATAGTTTTCTGCGTGTTTTCGGGGGGATTTTGATCCTGTGTAATTGTCCTTTTTCAGCGCACCTACACCCCGGACATGCTGAACGGCGTGCTGACGAAGCTGCGGGACCGCAACATCGTCTCGGCCCCCTACCTCGAGCGCTTCACCAACCTGGCCCGCATCGCCGAGCAGGTAAATTTTTGACATTGAATTGCCTTTTTCATTTTTTCGCGTATTTTCAAAATTTTATCTCTCTTTTCCAGATCTACAAAACGAAGCAGAACGTCGACGAGGAGCTGGAGGACGCGCCCGAGGAGTTCCGCGGTAAGAATTTTCGTTTTTTTTTGTATGGAAGAATTATGTCTTATTTATCTACTTTATTGATTATTCCTTTTAGACCCTCTGATGGACACGCTGATGCACGACCCGGTGGCCCTGCCATCCGGCCAAGTGATGGACCGGAACGTCATCATGCGCCATCTGCTCACCTCGAAGACGAACCCCTTCACGAGGGGCCCGCTGGAGGAGAGCGAGCTCGTACCAGGTATGTTAATTTTTGGGAATTTCTGGGGAAGCTGGCCGTTTTTTAAGAAGTTTGACACATTTTATGATTCGATTAGGACATGAAATTGTAATAGATTACGCTAGTTATTCTTAATGCATTTCATCGCGTAAGCCGTTAGAATTCATGATTTCCGTAAAAAAATTTGGGTTTTTTACTTTTATTTACATTTTAAAATCAGTTAAAATTATTGAGCTAGCTAGATTAGTCGGATTAGGTTACGCTAGATAATAGATTTGGGATTTTCTGGTGATTTTCGGGGATAAATTGAGCCCATAAATGTTCTGTCACCTTCTTTCCGTTTGTCAAACTTTTCTCCACTGGCCAGGGCACACAAGAGGGGGGAAAAGCCGCCGGAAACATGATTCCAAGCCGGGAGAACTCAAAGAGTTTGTCTCCCCCCTGGGTGCTAGAGAGTGGGCAAAATGCGGAGGGTGCCCGAGACAATTCCCATCGATTCCAGCTGACGACCTGCGAGAGCGCATCAAGGCATGGGTCGCCGCGAAGATGGCCAACCGCAAGCAGTAGATGATCATCCCCGCACGGCTCGGCGTCGCCACATCAATCGCCAGCTTTTCGCCATTGCCGGTATTTCTGTATCCCCCGCTTTTCCTGTTCCCCCTAATTTATTTGCCTTGTAAATAGCCAGCCTCTCTGATTTCACTTCATTTCTTAGCCAGCCGCCCGATCGAAATTACCTCGCCCCCCTGACGAATCCCCCACCAAATCGCGCCCATTTTACGACATTTTTCGGATGGGACTAGAATACGGGCATTAGTCAAAAAATTTTTGGAGCGTAAAAACTGCAAATTCGGCGCGGAACTTTGGATTCTCGGCCCTTCCTTCAAACGCGCCTCCCGCCAATACCAATATGTGATTTCTGCCGATGGGTGTCTTCTATGTCTTCTTGTTTTTGGGGGTATTTTCCGCTGCATCATATTCATTATATCCATTTCATTCTCGTCGTCCCCCACTTTCCGCTGTATTTTAACGAATTGTCGCGCATTTACCGCTTAAGATAAAGTCTCGTGCATTTTTGTGGTGTTTTCTGCTTTCTTTGATGGTTTCCTGACCATTCGAATATCGATTTACCGATTTCAAGCGATGCGGCGATGACGGCAATCCGTGCTTCTCAGGGTATCGCCAAGTGCTTTTGGCGGCGCGTCGACCAGATGCTCTCCATCTTCAGCAAGGGGCTTAAGGTACGAGGTTTTCCGTGTTTTCTTATTTTTCAAGAAAATTATGCACTTTTTGTGATTTTGACGAGCAGAATGGAAATTCGGGAATTGCTATCAGAATGTCGACATTTTTGCGGCGTATTTGCAAACTTTTCGTTATAAGTCCAGTAACGGTTAGTAATAGAAAAGTAAGCATTCAACAGTTTTTTTTGGGCAAACTTTAACTAGATTGAGGTCGAAAAACAGTTTGTAGAATGTTTAATTGACGTTTTTGCCGAAAATCAAACATTTTCGTTCGAAAAATCCGTTTTTGTGTGTTTTTAACAAAAGTTTGTATTGTTCTGCGCTTAGAAATAGCAAAAACAAACACAGTTTAGAAACGTCTCCTTGATTTCTATTACAAAAATTGAATCGTAAGGCAAAAGTGCAAAATCTCCCCAAAATGCGAAAGTACCTTAAATTTCGACTTTTTGTAAGTAACCCGAAATGCGCGGTTTGGCACTTCACGAGCTTGGGGAAATTGTTTAAATATTTCGTTGGTTTCCGAATAAATTGACGCAAATTCTCGAAATATGCGTCTCATGGAGTATTTTTCTAATTTTGCCGTTTTCAGCCCAGCCAGGGCCCGGCACTCGCTGCCGTCGCCACCAACGTGACGTCAACCCGTTTCGCGTCGAGCGAAGTGAACTTCTCGGTACAGGCGTTCAAGCTGCACAAGCTGGACAACGGGCCCAACACACAAGTGAAGCTGACGCGAGACGATGCCCTCAAGTACTACAGACAAATGCAGGTACTGGCGGATTTTTGGGCCTTTTGGAACCTTTTCGACTTTTTTTGAGGCTTTTCCGTACTTTTTACGCCTTTAATCATTTTGAATTTTCGTCCGTAGCGGTAATCGTTTCTTTTAAAAGTGTTTTTAGATTAATGTTGTAGTTTCTGTTCCCGAAAATCGTATTTTTCCAGCTGATCCGCCGTATGGAGGGCGCCGCCAGCAACCTCTACAAGGAGAAGAAGATTCGAGGATTTTGCCATCTCTACTCTGGACAGGTTCGGAATTTCCCGTAGTTTTTACTGTGATTTTTGTGTTTTAGGAAGCTTGTGCCGTTGGGATGAAGGCGGCGATGACTGACGGCGATGCCGTGATCACCGCCTATCGCTGCCACGGATGGACGTATCTCTGCGGATCGACCGTCACCGAGATTCTGGCCGAGTTGACGGGTGCGTTTAGTTTTTTATAGACTTTCAGAGGGCTAGATTTCGCCTCACCTCGTAACTCCGGTTTTTGAAAGCTAAGCGAGCGCTAAAACACGTGCGCCGGCATTTTTTGAAAGATACGAACAGCTCGCTGCGTATATCGGAACGATTTGCGCGCGTTGTTTGGCTGAGTTGACGAGACTCCGAAGGCGAAGAGGCAAAGTTTGTCCTTCTAAAGAGCCTGGAATTACGATTTTTTCGAAATGCAATAAAAAACAGCGGAAAAATGCGTCGGTTTCCTAAATTCAAAAATTTTTTAAATTCGGGCTGTGCTGAAAACTGCCCGACGCTTTTTTTATTCCTAAGCGAAGATTCACGACTGGCACGATCTTTTTAATCGTAACCGCCGGTCTTTTTCGACTTTTAGTACCATTTTCAGGCCGCATCACCGGAAACGTGTACGGCAAGGGCGGCTCGATGCACATGTACGCCAAGGATTTCTACGGAGGAAATGGAATCGTCGGGGCACAGCAACCACTCGGCGCTGGAGTCGCTTTCGCCATGAAATACAGGTGAATAGCAGTATTCTTGTTTCTCTCTCTCTCTCTCTCTCTCTCTCTCTCTCTCTCTCTTCCTCTCGCTCTTTCTTTGCTGCTCTTTTGTTGCTGGGAGTAAATTAACTCTTCAAACCCCGCATTTTCAGGGATCAGAAGAACATCTGCGTGGCGTTGTACGGTGACGGAGCCGCGAACCAAGGTCAACTCTTCGAGGCCGCCAACATGGCCAAGCTGTGGGATCTGCCGTGCATCTTTGTCTGCGAGAACAATGGATTCGGCATGGGAACGTCGGCCGATCGCTCATCCGCGTCAACCGATTACTATACTCGGTACGTTACACGATTCTATGAGTTTCCTCGCGTAATTGACTATCCTTAGGCTGCAGAGTATGTTTTTCGTACTTTTTATACGTAAGATTAATTTCAAATTTTCTAGTTTTGATAGTTTTTTTATGGTTCTCTAATTTTAAATTTAAACTCTACTCTTTTTTTCAGTGGCGACTACGTGCCGGGCGTGTGGGTCGATGGAATGGACGTGTTGGCTGTGAGGGAGGCGATTCGTTGGTGCAAAGAATACTGTGATGCTGGCAAGGGGCCTCTGATGCTGGAAGTGGCTACGTATCGATACCATGGACACTCGATGTCGGATCCCGGAACTAGGTACGGATCTCTTTGTTTTAAGGGACTATGAAGCCAGAGATTTTTTGAAAGGCGTTCGCGGTTGTAGCTTAGCTTTTTCGAGACATTTTTGCCTTTCGAATTAAACGATTTTCGAAGACATTTCGGAATTTCTTTAAAACCAGGTTTACGCGTATTTGTTGCTTCTCGTTACAGTATTCCTTTCCAGCTACCGTACCCGCGACGAGATTCAATCTGTGAGGAAGACGCGCGACCCGATCACCGGCTTCAAGGACCGCATCGTCACTTCCGGCCTGGTCACCGAGGACGAGCTCAAGGAGGTTGATAAGGTACATTTCAACTTTTTGCTTTTTTGCCGAAAAATGTCGGCTAACAAGGAGCGGTTTTTAGGTGATCTTGAAATTTTTCTATGCTAAAAAGATCATTCGATAGTGCTTTGAATTCTAAACCAGTCCCACCTTTCAAAAACTGCCGAATGGCACCGATTTACAAGAAAGTTTACGCTGAAAGGGCTGATTTTGACGATTTTTGACCGCCTATCGGTCTGGTGGGCACTCATATTTTCGAAACTCATATTTTCGAAACTCACATTTTCGAAACTCATGGTTTCGAAAACTCATATTTTCGAAACTCATATTTTCGAAAACTCATATTTTCGAAACTCATAGTTTCGAAAACTCATATTTTCGTAACTCATATTTTCGAACTCATATTTTCGAAACTCATATTTCCGAAAACGGTCCTTGCGTGGGGGGAACTGAACTTTTTTCGGCCCAAGCCTAGATTTTTTATATAAATGGTGGAATTGTTTCTAAACCGTTTATAGCTATTCCTAAGCATAAAACTTTACAAAATTTAATAAAAAAAATTAATTTTAATAGAAAAATTAATTTTTTCGACCAAAAACGACCAAATTTTCGACTTTTTCAAGCGTTTTTCTAAACTTAAAAAAAATTTTTCCTATTAAAATAAGTTCTTTTTTGTTTTTTTCCTATTCTTCCCCCCGGATACGCAAGAACCCCGAAAACTCATAGTTTCGAAACTCATATTTTTGAAATTCATATTTTCTTAGGTTTTCTTAAGTTACCCAAGCCTATGCAAAGCTGTAACTATCAGTTTTCGAAAATATGAGTTTCGAAAATATGAGTTTTCGAAAATATGAGTTTCGAAAATATGAGTTTTCGAAAATATGAGTTTCGAAAATATGAGTTTCGAAAATATGAGTTTTCGAAAATATGAGTTTCGAAAATCTGAGTTTCGAAAATATGAGTTTCGAAAATATGCACGCAAATCTATCGATCTCTATCGAACAAGCTACGTCACATCGCAAATTTCCAAGATCACCTAAAAACCACTCCTTGTAAGTGTGTATGTCGAAATTAATGTCGTATTCTTTTAGGCGGTGCGCAAGGAGGTGGAGGACGCGACGAACAGCGCTGTCAACGATGGAGTGCTGCCACCGGAAGCCCTCTACGCCGACATCTTCCACAACGACGAGCCGCAGACTGTTCGGTACGCTTTTCTGGATTTTCGGTAGATTAAAGTACAGAAGTCTGGGGCTTTTTAATCAAATTTTGGCTGATGTGAATTTTTCCTAAAACTTATCACGTGAACAGGGATCCCTAAACATATAAAAAATCCTAAATGGCATCATTTTTGAGCAATGACGTTAGTTGAATCTTCCCAAACTTTTTCCTAGTCTCCACCTTTTTTCGCTATCAATATAGCAAATTTGAACTGAACGCTACTAAAATACTACTAAATACCTATTTCTCTCTATCCAATATTTAGCCAGTTTTGGGAAAAATTTACTTAGGAAATCTCGTTTTTACGCGAAATAACAAGAATTCGAAACTTTTGAATGTGTACTTGGTCGATACCTTTATTACAAGGAGAAGTTTTTGATTGTAAATGGAGTTTTGAGTCGAAACTAGAGACCAAGTAAATTTACTTGAACAACTTTATTTGCATCTGGAATCTTCAAATAACTATAAAATTATTTTACTTCGTTTGCTTAAATAAGCATCAAGTAAAATAAAATTACTTGATTTACTTGATCTTGATTGATTTGGGGGAATTACTTGATTTTCAGCGAAATTACTTGATTTTGTGCAAATTCGCAATGCAAATCAGGCGATCGTGCCGCGAACCCAGTAAATTAGCATGCGATCATGTCATAAGGTTCATTACCATCCGAAAAATGCCAGAATTCCAGAAAGCTATTGTTTGATCAAGTAAATCAAGTAAATCAAGTAATTTTACTTGGTTCTTTCTCGAGCGGAGTCAAATAATATTATTTTACTTGGTCATGCGCTCAGCCCCATCCAAATCAAATAATATTGTGCCATTGTATGCAAATAATCTTGATTGTTAATTGATTCTTAACATCTCTAGTCGAAACCAGGCCTATTTGATTTGAATATCTGTATTTGAAAACATTATAAGGGGGTTTCGCTGGAAAAACGCCCGAAATGGCATACTTTGAAGGCCTATAAAAATGTTAGAGATCACGTCATGCCCACAAAAAAAAACCTCTCCTTGTTAGTCTTTAGTGCCTTTTCACTCTAAATCCCTTTTTTGCAGTGGATGCACCGTTGACGAGACGATCGTCCAGCCGTATCGAACGACGAAGGAGATTGTGCAGCAGAGGAAGTAGACGATCAACACCAATATAATGCCCCTCTCGAATTTGTTTGTTAGTGAATAGTGTGTCCATTTGTTTTTTGCATAAGCCATTAGTGCGAGGTAGTGACGGGCATTTCCCCCGCCGTCTTCTTTTCTTCTTTGAATATTTATCGATACGCTAGTCTCTCTCATTTCTCTGCGTCTCTTCCATTTCTCGGTGTCTCGCTCCCCTAGTTTCTCCTCGTTGTGTTCTCTATTTCTCTCGGATTTCTGTGCTCTCTCTCGCTGACTTGGCACGAATTTTAATTACGAAAAGGATTTTAATATTATAACCGGACGAATAAATGGTTTGCGGGCCTGTGGTGGATGCTGGAAAAACGCGAAAAGTGATCTCGCGGTGTAGTTTAGCGCAAAGAGTCTCTGCCAGTTGGCCTCTTTTAGGCTAGCGTTTACTAAAGGCCCGACAACGTCAAAAATGCTCTCGCGACGCAATTTTTCTTCCAAAAAAACCTGTGCTAGCTTGCCATGCCTGTGACTATCCTTTCCGAATCATTCAAGCATTTCTGGCTAGTCTGCAGCCTGTTTTCTATTCTAGCTCAAAGAAGCCCTGCTAGCTTGCCGCCGGTTGGTTAGAGTTTCCCAAATGATCCCTGCTAGCTTACCTCAGCTGAAAAAAGGTTCGAACGAAATGTTTCTCCAAAAACCGCTGCCGGCTTGCCCGGGCTTGAGCTATCGTTTTCGAAATACCTCTGCTAGTCCACGCAAAGATCGGCCTCCTATTGCTCTGCGAATCCGTGGGTGAATCGCGGCTTCAAAAACGATCTCTGCTAGCATGCTGCTGCGGAAAAACGTCAAGGGAATTGGACCAGCGCTACCGTTTTTGCGTTCAAAAGCTCTGCTACGTCGCCCGGGCCTGCGCTGGCAGTTCTTAAATAATCTCTGCCAAGCAGCTCAAAGGTCTAACCGTAACACTCTTATGGTCGAAGTGGAAATAAAAGGATGGGGTACGTGCAATAGCACATTTTGTTCAAAAATTTTTGTTGATTCCAGATCCAGCTTCAAAAATTGCGGCACCACTCAGATTCAATTCTTCTAAAAAGGCAGTAAAATACTTTTGGGGGGAAAGCAAGCCAATTCCCCGGTTAAAAAATGTGCTCTTTTGAATGGGCTGCTTTGCGAACTCGAAGCACGTAATTTGTAAAATTCGAAAATTAGCCGTCGAGGGCTTGTGTCGGATCAAAAGAACTTTTTGCACAAATTTTGGGTCCATGGGTCCAGACATCCCGTTTCTTGCTGCTGGCTGTTCGATATTTGGTGTCCCGCACCCAAGAATATGATACCCGTGTCTCCCACAGATGATAATAAGGAGACATGTCCACCACCCGAAGACCACTTTTTGCCCCTTTTTGCTGTGTAGTTCGATCTCTCATTCACTCTCTCTCTCTCGCTCTCTCTCTCTCTCTCTCTCTCTTTCTCTCCAAAATCGTCTCTGCTAGCCTGCCATGGGCTAACGGAAGTTGCTTATAGAGAGCGAAAGAGAGAGAGAGAGAGAGAGAGAGAGAGAGAGAGAGAGAGCGAAAGCGAGCGCGAAAGAGCAAGATATGGAGGCTTCTAGCGACTAAGTCTCTAATAATCGCTGCCAGCACCTTTTTTCCGGGCCTGTAAAACATGTTATTCCGGGAGTAGAACAGCGGGGCGCCGGATATTTGTCGTCAAATCAAATATTATCCCCTGCCTCCCTCTCTCTCTCTCTCGCTCCCTCTCTCGCTTTGTATCTACTTCTCCCCTTACAATTCATCTCCCATTCTGACCAACGGCCCCCAAAAAAGGTATCCAAACTACGTGGATGTTGTTCGCCCAGCTTCACTGATCTTAGCGACCCAAATCGGCTTCGTTTTCCCGAAGAATCTCTGCTAGCCTGCCCCCGTCCATCCCCCTCCAATTCCTCAAAGAATCTCTGCTAGCCTGCCCTGTCAGGTCTCCGAATGAAGTTTTAAAGTTCGTTTAAAGTACTGCCTCGTTAGTATCGGATTGTTGTTTATGATGGACGGAGAGAGAGAGAGAGCAACAGAAAAAGACAGACTCCCCAGGGGGCCATCCCCTGTAATTAGAGACTATTTTGACTGACCTGGGGGTTTCACCTTCTCTTTCTCTCTCTCTTTCTCTCTCTCTCTCTCTCTCTCTCTCTCTCTCTCTCTCTCTTTCTTCCATTTCAGGGCTTCATTTTGTTTAAAAAGTGCACAAGTCACCAGGCGCACTGCAAATTTCATTCGGCCAAATTTTGTGTATGTTGTTTTGGGGCGCTCTCGCCCCAAATTTGGCTCAATCACAGCTTGGCCAAAGTTTTGAAATTGTCATACGACCAAATTATCTCCTTATTACTGTATTTTTCGCAATCTGGTCGCTAAAAATCACGAATTTTAAACTTTTGGTTTACTTTTGCTTTAAAATATTAAAATATTTTTATAATGACATTAAATTGTTTAAAATTAGATCACTTTAATCGTGAAAAAACGCTCGAAATTTGGCGCGTCCTTCGGGCTGTTACGCTCCCTTTAGCATACGGTTCGCCCCCTAAAAACCGCTCAATCCACCCCTCGGACTTCACTGCTCCTTTAAAACGTCGGACTGGACGGGGAGAAAGAGTAGGGAGAGAGAGAGACAGAGAGATAGAGAGAGAGAGAGAGAGAAAGGGAGAGAGAGATAGAGAGAGGGGGAAGAGAGAGAGAAAGGGAGAGAGAGACAGAGAGATAGAGAGAGATAGAGATAGAGCGAGACAAATTTTGCAGCCTCCATGGACTTCACGGACCCTTAAAAAGGTCAGCTGCAAGCCAGATTAGCCTAAAAATTGGCCAGCCGGATTTTTTTGCAGAATCCCCGTCTAGCTGCGGCAAAAGGTAGAAGGTAGCGAAGAGAAGGGGAGGAGCAGCTCGTGATCCGGCAGCTTATTCATGGGCAGGAAGGGGAGGAAGGGAGGAGAAAAAAGAGGGTAGAAGGAGACGATAACGAGGCTACTCAACGCTCCTATAGACACCTCCATCGGCATGCAGAACTACAGACAGAAGATACCTTCATTTTGGCCTGATTTTTGGCAAAGAATCTCTGCTAGCCTGCCTCTCTCTCGCTTCCTGTCTCTCTCTCCCTATCTCTTCCTGTCTTTCTCGCTCTCTCGCTCTCTCTCTTTCTCTGTCTCTCTCTCGCGCTCTCTCAATCTCTACTCTCTCACTCCCTATTTACCTCTCTCTCTTTTCTATTTGGTCTACGGTATTTCTCAAAGAATGTCTGCTAGCATCCCCCACTATGCCCTCACCGATAATTCATCATTTTCGAATAGAATTTCTCCCGTTTTTTTGATGGTGAATAGTACTCTCATGACCGCCGTAAAAATTCAATTCTCCACCCGTGATAATACACTCGTTTTGTCGGGCCGCGTGGGTGTCCCCAATTCAATGCCGTCCGGAGTACACCCTCGTAGTCTACCCGTACTTTCATTGGCGTTTTCGGTGTTCAAAATGTCGAGACCGAGTGGGTCAAAAAAGTCGAGCTTCGGAGTTTCTGGCCCCTTAAGGGCGTGATTTGATGAATCGCGTACTTGACGAGACCTAGTGGATCGAATGGGTCGATTTTCGTACTATCTGGCCCTTTTTAGGCGCGTAATTCGACTTATCACGGACTTATCGAGAACTAGTGGAGCGGGAGGGTCGATTTCTGGAGTTGTGGTGCCTTTAGGCGCGCAACGACACTGATAGGATAACTGTCGAGATCTAGTCGAACCAGAGGTCGATTTCCAGGGCACCTTTTTAGGGCGTAATTGGACTGAACTGGTCGCTGTCGAGACCTAGTGGATCGAGTGGGTAGATTTTTGGACTTTCTGGTCCCATTAGCACATTATTTGACATATTTCAACTTGTCCAGACCTAGTGCATCCTTGAGGTCGAATTCGGGACTCAGCGGCCCCTTTAAGAGCGTGATTCGAAGGAACGCGTATTTGTCGAGCCCTAGTGGTTGAATGGGTCGATTTTTGGGAAACACACGCCGATTCTGGAATGCATAGTATTCCTTTGGACAGAAAGGTAGGGGCCAGCTGTCAGCTGGTCGATGTGTCGATCTGTATTCCACCCCCCCTCTATTCCCAGCTTGTCCCCGCTTTTCCCAAAAATATTTCACGCCAAAAAATCCACATCGGTCCACACCGAATCGAAAATCGAATCGTACAACAGCTGTGCCTGTCGGCTGTCAGACATCAAAATTTCTCCCGTCCTGACAGCTTTTCGCCAAGAATACGCAACGCGCCAAATTTCGCGACGACGTCCATCCTGCCCGCGGCCGCGCCCCCACATTTCCAGTGCGTAACGGTTTTGCGATTTGTCCGTTAATTTGTTTTCAAAGCGACTCCGAAATCTGGTCCACGGCCTCAACGTTGATTCCTGGCAAATAGCCAGATGTAACCGCAACGCGCCCGCGCCGCATGTTCTTTTGCCCCTGTTTAGACGTGAAAACACTTGAATTTCAAAATTCTGACGCTATTTCTGGAATCCTCACCTAATTTTGCTCATCTTAGGCTTTTTGGGTTTTTTTTGCAGCAGCGATTTTCCTGATTTTGGGGAGTAATAGCAAGAATTGTTGTTGACGATGTGGAGCGGATGGATGGATGGATCAGGATGAAGACAATAGAACAAAAAGAGCGGATAGAATCCCTAGAGCTATCGGATTGGAGAAAAGAGAAGAAAAGAAAAGAATATCACTCTCCCATCCGGGTCTGAATATCACGTAATATCTGACCTGTTCAAAAGAAATGACATGTCGGATTATGGCTCTGAAGATCCGCTAGATTTTCACAACGAATCCCTGCTAGCCTGCCGCTCCAATTCCTCAAAGAATCTCTGCTAGCCATGCCTTGTCCATCCCTTTAAAACCGTTTCATAGATCGATACAGACAGTGCGTGATACTGCTCAATACCCCCCCCGCCATCCACCCTTCATTATTCTAGGGTTTCCTCCCAAATCAGCCTAAAGCTTTGCAGGGCT